AGAGGATGTAAACTGGTACAGATAGGAACTGGAAACACAGGGAATCCAGGACAGATGATTCCCTTCAGGACCAGTGGTGAGAGTGGCGATACCGGGAGGGTGGAGGGAAGGTGGGGTAGAAAGGGGTAACCGATGATAAGGATCTACATATAACCTCCTCCCTGGGGGATGGACAACAGAAAAGTGGGTGCCGGGAGACATCGGACAGTGTAAGATGTGACAAAATAATTTATATATTATCAAGGGTTCATAAGGGAGGAGGGAGTGGGGAGGGAGGGGGGAAACTAGGAGCTGATACCAAGGGCTCAAGTAGAAAGCAAATGTTTTGAGAGTGATGATGGCAACAAATGTACAAATGTGCTTGACACAATGGATGTATTTATGGATTGTGATAAGAGTTACACGAGCCCCAATAAAATGATTTTTTTTAAAAACTGAAGAAAACATCTTATCTCAGTCCAGATCAAGTCCGTAAATCTGATATTAGCCCATAGGTCTGATACTAGTCCATAATCCCTCTTCAGACTCATGCAGCACATGCAATGACACCGAATGCAGGAAGATCACAGGCCAGTGGGTAGAAGGTCTTGTGATCCAGTGGAGGTGGAAGCATCTCAGCGCTGGTGTGGGTTTCCACGTGGCTCCTCCAGTTCCAGGGCTCTGGCTCCATCAGTGTAGCTCCATGTAGCTTGTCAGCAGGAATGCGAAGCAGAGAGTGTGTCCCACCTTCAGGGAAGAAGACAGGAGTTCCCAGAATCCTCAGGAGAAGGCCTCATTGGCTATGACCTGATTGACAGGCTCGACTCCACCCCTTCGCTCAAGTTGACAGGAGATTACACAACTGCCATGCTTCTCACAGTGGATCTCACCCTACATGTGACTGATTACATTGTGTTATGCCACATTGTGGGGAATTACTAGTCCTCCACTGAAGAACTCGTGAGAATCCTGGCCCAGCCCAATTGGGATGAAGCTCAACTATTATTGCCAGCAATGATATCCCATTGATAAAGTTGTAAATGATCCCGGGCAGCTGTGGAGCCATATTGACAGTTGGGTGATCACCATAGGAATGCGATGACCCCCGAAGTCTTTACAGAAATATTGACCCATCCGCTCTCTTCTGGGTAAGTCAGCTACATGCTAAAGTTTGAGAGCCATGGACACAATGATCTACTTCACCTTTGTTAGTGGTTGAACAGGATAGAGAGCCAATGTCCCCCCTTGATGAACGTTTTGTGGAGTCCTCCAGATTTCCTCATCAAATTCATCCTCATCCCACATCTTCACCCACTTGTCCAATGATCAGCTGTGGGTGACATTCCCAGGACCCTGTTTTGTTTTTTAACATTCTGTTGTGATCTGGTTGAAAGTTAGCAAAGCAAATCGGTTTTCCATTCAACAACCCATGCACATTTTGTTTTGTGACATTGACTGTAGTCTCCCGAAGTTGACAGCACGCTTCCCATTTCTGATGTTTATGATTTCCATTCCTCCCTGTCTCCTGAGCTTCATCCCTGGGAAAATGTTCCCCCTTTTGATATGGTACAAGGGGGTACCCACTCCCCCCAAAAAACAGAATTTCCCCCCTCAAAGCTATGTATTTAAATGTCATTTACAAAACAACCTTATCACCTTCAAAGTGCTCTCCGTTACACTTACTGCGTTTGTCCTGTCTGCGGTTCCATTCTTGGAAACATTTTTCAAACTCATCTGTTTGGATGGCTGACAGCACCTCCCTTGGTTTTTTCTTCACCTCTTCCATGTCATCGAAGCGCTGTCATTTCATGCCTCTGCATTCGAGGAAACAAAAAGAAGTTGCATGGAGCGAGGTCAGATGAGGTTGGCATGCTGTTTTTGCCAAAACCTGGTGCACTGAGATGGCTGCATGAGCAGGTGCATTGTGCTGGAGGCAAAACCAATCCCCCGTCTGCCACAAATCAGGCCTTTTTTGTTCCATACTGTTACACAATCTCTTCAGAACCTCTAAATAGAAGGCTTAGTTAACAGTCTGACCCGGTGGAACACACTCCAGATGCACTATCTCCCTCACATCAAAAAAACAAATGAGCATCGTCTTTGTCTTTGGTTTCACTTGACGAACTTTTAAAAAAAAATCATTTTATTGGGGCTCGGACAACTCTTATCACAATCCATCCATCCATCCATTGTGTCAAGCACATTTGTACATTTGTTGCCATCATCATTCTCAAAACATTGAGCCCTTGGTATCAGCTTCTCATCCCCCCTCCCTCATAAACCCTTGATAATTTATATATCATGCTTATTTTTTCATGTCTTACACTGACCAATGCCTCCCTTCACCTACTTTTCTGTTGCCCATGCCCCTGGGAGGGGGTTCTATGTAGATCATTGTGATCGGTTCCCTGGTATGTTTTCTTAATGTACAATTACTCTTTATGTAAAGCTCTTTCTTATACACATATGAGGGTCTATGAATTTGTTTCTCTAGTCAACTCGGACTAACACAGAGAGGCACCACCTGGTGTCTTTGCTCTAAGGCCAGAGTGGGAAACCTTTTTCCTGCCCAGGACGATTTGGATATCTATCTATAGGAGTAGAAAGCCCCACCTTTGTCCCGCAGAATGACTGGTGGGTTTGAACAGCTGACCTTGTAGTTTGCAGTATGAAGAGCAATCCGGGACACCACCCCAGCTTCTTGTCCACCCTGTGTTGTTGTGAGGTACCACGAGTCGGTTCCGACTCACGGTTCCGACTATGCACAGCAGAAGGAAACACTACCTCTCGTACTCGATGGCTGGAACGGCTTCTCTTGGGGGAGGAGTGTGATGTGACTTGGGATTGATGACTTCAAGGCCTGAATCGGCCTGAATCGAGCGGCACGTGCCCCTCCCTCCTTTACAGTCTTGGAAACCTTAGATATGATCACTGTGAATTAGAGTCCACTCCGTGACAATAGGTGGGTAAGGGGCCATGGTGGTGTCGTGGGTGAAGCAGTCAGTCCACTAGCAACCAAAAGATTGGTGGTTCAACCCCACCAGCAGCTCGGTGGGAGAGAGATGAGGTAATGATCTATAGCCTCACTGACTCACAGGAGCAGTTCTACCCTGTCCTATAGGGTCTCGGTGAGTGAGAATCCACTCAATGGTGGAGGCTTTGATCTTGGCGATGTCTATTATTACAAGGCTGTGGTGGGGGAGGGGGGCTGATCTGTTGGTGGTGATGTGTTCTTCTAGAGACTTTGTGGGTATTTGTGGAACTTTCTGGAAGGTTCTTCATGGAGGGCTTCTGATCAAGACTGATGGTTGTTGTTGGGGCCAGCCTGGTTTGTCACTGAATTCCCACCCAACTGGGAAAGCCGGTCTTAAACCGACTCCAGGAGGGGTCCCTTCCTAACTGCCCTCATCGTCTGCCCCCACAGCATCCCTCTCCGCCGAGTGCATCCTCAACCCAGCACCCTGGACCCACTGAGGGCATGGGGGGAGCCAGTGCAACACCCAAGCTTGGGGACCTCATCTCCTGGGGACAAATCCACGTTTGTGCCTCTTTCTAACTACATGAACGTGAGTTGCCGCCTCCTCGTTCCCCACCGCCTGGTGCTGAGAATCCAGGCTCATCCGGTACCTTGTTTTGTTTTTCACCATCAGGTGCAGTATTTTGGGGAGATTGGGCTGGGAACGCCTCCCCAAAACTTCTCAGTCATCTTTGACACTGGCTCCTCCAACCTCTGGGTCCCTTCTATACGATGCCACTTTCTAAGCCTGCCCTGCTGTGAGTTTTTACGGGGGAAGAGGACAGGCAGGGTGGAAGTGGGAAGGGCTTCAGCTGCCCCCAAGCCTCTGAAGCCGCCATCCCCTCGGACCCAGCCCTGAGGGGCCACTGACACCTCCCTGACCTTCGGACCTAGGGTTCCACCACCGTTTCAACGCCAAAGCCTCCAGCTCCTTCCAGCGCAATGGGACCAAATTTGCCATTCACTATGGAACCGGGCGGCTCAGCGGCATTCTGAGCGAGGACAAGCTGACCGTACGTGACCCTGTGGGCCGCCATCCCAGCAAGGCTTGAGTCCGGGACAGTCCCCTTATCTACCATCCTTGGTCTGGGAGAAGGGATTTAAGGAGACTGGGTTTCTTGGTGAAGGAGCAAGACTTGTCAGAAAGGCGGGGATTCCTGCGTGGAGGGGCGGGGCTTCTCCAGAGAGGCAGGTCTTCCTTGGCAAAGCGGTGGCACTTATCAAGTGTTCTGATGGAAGGGTGGGCCCTAGAGGAGAAGGGCGCGTCCACGGGAAGGGGTGAAGCTTATCATGAGGAGATGGGGGGCGGGGTTCCTGGTGAAGGGGTGGGGCTTATCAGGTGGCGAGGTGGGTTTTCCTGGCGGTGGGGGTGGGGGTTTCTCAGGGTGACGTGGGGCTTCCATGGAAAGGGGTGGGGCTAATCGTGAGGAAAGGCGTGGTTTCCTGGTGAAGGGGTGGAGCTAAGCAAGTAGAGAGGTGGAGTTTCCAGGTGGTGGGTGGGGCATCTCAGAGGAGGGGCGTGGCTTTCTGGTGGATGGGTTGGGCTTCCTTGGGAGAGGGGTGGAGCTTCTCAAGTGGAGAAGTGGGGTTTCCGTGGAGGGGCGTGGCTTATCAAGAATAGGGCGGGGGTTCTCAATGGATAGGTAGGACTTCCTAATTGATGAAAGCAAGGGCTTTCCTAAAGCTTCTGAGGCTACTGGGACTTTTTTCTAGATGCCCCAGATGAGGAGGACTCATGCCTTGTTTGGGAAGGTCTTGGGCTTTCTCATCCCATAGAAATACAGTTCTACCTGTCTTACAGGGTCCTATGCGTCAGCATGTCAGTGTTTTGGTTTGGGGGGCCTGCACGGGTCATGTCACTCCAGAAGTAACTGGCCCCCTCTCAATCTACCCCTAGATTGGGGGAGTCAAGGGTGCATCCGTGGTTTTCGGGGAGGCCTTGTGGGAGCCCAGCTTGATCTTCACTTTTGCCCACTTTGATGGGATATTCGGCCTCGGTTTTCCCATCCTGGCTGTTGATGGAGTCCGGCCCCCGCTGGACATATTGGTGGACCAGGGCCTAGTGGACAAGCCTATCTTCTCCTTCTACCTCAACAGGTATTGGTGGTGGGAGGGAGAGGGGGTTAGGTCTTCCTTCTTTAGAGTCTCAGCCCCCTGGGAGTCCCTTACCCAATAAAATGCCACTCTCCACTGGGAAGTCCTATTCTCGGCAGGAAGACACTGACACACAGGACGTCCCACCCACTCCTGGTGGCAGAGTGGAAGTATAAGGCTGCTTATTGAAGTGTTGGCAGTTAGAACCCACCAGCTTTTCTGTCATTCAGAAAGCACACACACACTCCTGAAAAGCCACACTTCCCAGAATGAATTCAGAGCTTAGTGACTATGACACTCAGCTAAGGACATTCCCCCTGGCAAAAAAAAAAAAAAAGCCCACACTACCACCACTTCAGAAAGTCCCCAGCACCCTAAAGTCCACCCACCACCAAGACAACCCCCCTTGCCTTCACCTTTTCTACTTGGCTTCTGGTCCCCACAGCTAGGCCCTGCCTGCACCCTTATAGCAGAAGCCCTGTCCCTGGGCCCCTGAGGGGGACCTGGGGGACCCTGATAGAGCTGTGCCTCGGCAGGAACCCCGAAGAGGCTGACGGTGGAGAACTGGTTCTGGGGGGCTCCGACCCTGCACACTACATCCCACCCCTCATCTATGTGCCAGTGACTGTCCCAGCCTACTGGCAGATCCACATGCAGAGGTGGGCAGGGACTCCTGGTCCCAGGGAGGGGGCCTGGGGGACAGGACTCCTGGGTCTGATGGAGGGGGGGCTGGGGGCCAGGACTTTGGGTCTGAGAGTCCTGGGGGTGGGCGAGATTTCTAGGTCTGAGGGAGGAGGAGCCTGGGTGCTGGGTACCTGGACTCCTGGGTCTGAGGGAGGAGTTGGGGAGGGGGTGTCAGGACTCCTGGGTCTGAGGGAGGAGGAACGCTCCTGACTGCCCCTCCTGGCCACAGTGTGAAGGTGGGCTCAGGGCTGACCCTCTGTGCCCGGGGCTGTGCCGCCATCCTGGACACGGGCACATCCCTCATCACGGGACCCACCGAGGAGATCCAGGCCCTGAACACAGCTATAGGCAGTGTCCCCCTGCGGATGGGGCAGGTGAGTACTAGGTCTGAGTGGGCGTGACCAGGGAGTCTGGGGGCGGGGCATCAGAAGCTGGTGGTTACAGGATATCTCAGGGCTGAAGGTGGACCCCAGTGATAGGTGCCTTCCAAGTGCCTGCCTTGAGTGACTCGGTCCATAAAGAAAGGAGAAGTGGAGCTGCCAAGTGGCTGGAGAGAGGGAGAACGAGGAGAGGGCAGATATACCAATGCCAGGACGGAACTGAGGGGTTGGGAAGGACTGGGGGCATCTGGGGCGGTGTGGAGGAGCTACACTTAGAAGTCCTTGGTAGACTAAAGATGAATGCACTGGGCTGGTTGGATGACAGGCTGGAGGTTCGAGCCTTTCCTGAAGCACCTTCCAGAGGCAGCCTGGTGACCTGCTTCCCCCAAACCAGCCCTTGAGAACCCCATGGAGTGCAGTTCCACTGTAACCACAAGGGGCGCTGTAGAGCCGAGGGGACTTGACCACTGGTTGGTTGGCCCCTTGGCAGAAATAACAGCTGGGGATGGGGGCGGTGGGGCAGAGCCGAAGCAGCATCCCTCAGTCACATTTTCCCAGTGATTTAGGGATGGCATGCTGGCCTTCCATGTAGGGAGTCTGGGGGTCGATGCTGGTCCCTTGCCTTCACTGGCCACCACCACTCACCTGACACTGGAAGCTTGTGTGTTAAGAAACCTAAAACCTGACTTGAAAGCTCCTGATTGGCGAAAATCATCATCATCCTAGCGCTGACGAATGCGTCAGACAATTACCAGGACCACTCATTTCCCACAAAATCCCTATAAGGTCATTACGATGACCACCTGCCTTTTTAATGTTGGGAAGCGGGGCACAGAGAGGTTAAGTCGTTTACCTAAAGTTGCACAGCAGGGAAGCGAGAGTACCAGCCTTTGAACACAGGACAGATGCCACAAGACCCAGCCTGGACCACGGAGGTGTAGGTTAACCGATGCAAAACCAACTCCCTTTAGGTCACTGTGTGTGGTGAATGAAATACAAAGGGGCTTCAGAAAGCTCACAGAAAAATGAAAGAGAGCTCGTGGTTTTTTTGTGTGTTTTTTTGCCATGAACATTTTGAAACTCCCTGGCTTCCCCGGTGGGCTCAGTGTTTGGGATCTACATTCAGATAAAGTGAGTAAGAGAGGGTCTGGCTACACGGAGTCTGGAGGAAGTTACAAAAATTATACAGGGGTGAGGGGCAAAGCTGGTAAGGCTAGGGGCACCTTGAAAGAAAGGCAGCCAGGTGTGACTGCCTAAGATCCTTAGCACCCGGCTCCTCCTAAGGTACTGGAGAGCCAGGGTAGGTATTTGAGCATAGCAGGAATCCTATCTCCACTCACTGGCGATACCCTCATAGGGATCCTATAGGACAGGGTAGAATTACCCCTTTAGTTTCCGAGATTGTAACGCTTTCCCAGAGAAGAAAGCCTCGTCTTTCTCCCGTTAAGTAGCTGGGTGGTTTTGAACTGCTGTACTTGAAGTTAGTGCCCCAACCAGAACAAGGTTCCTTGAATCTTCACATATTCCTCTTTTCCAGTACATCATTGACTGCTCAAAAATACCGTCACTCCCCCCAATCTCCCTCCTCCTTGGCGGGGTCTGGTTTAACCTCACAGGCCAAGACTACGTCATCCAGGTAAGTAGACATCACGGTGACGTGAGAGGGAGGGATGTCGTATGATTGGGCTCGTGAAGGTAGACACAGACTTCCTTGGGGAAGATGGGGTGACGGTTGCGTTTCTAAGTCCGAGAGGGGAGGGGGGGGGAGGGGGCGTGACTCTCAGGTGGCCCCCCTTGGTTTCCTGCAGATTGCTCGGTTTGGTGTCCACTTCTGCCTGTCCGGCTTCCAGGCTCTGGACATACCTCCGCCCGTGGGGCCCTTCTGGATTCTCGGCGACGTGTTCTTGGGGAGCCACGTGGCCGTCTTCGACCGTGGTGACACGAAAGGCGGTGCCCGAGTGGGGCTGGCACGCGCCCGTCCGCGCAGGGCGGGGCAGCAAGCGGGCGAGCCTGCGCAGGCGCAGTTCTACGGGTGATGCCTGGCTAGGCGCCAAAGGCCCCTTCTGTGAAAATTCGCTATTTCTGCTGCATTTACCTTGGTCGCTGTTCTCTTTGTTTTAAGGGCATGTTTTTTGGAGAGGAAAAAGCAACTGTCCAGATCTCTGGAGATGAATAAGAGGAGTAGGGGGAGGTAGCCTTTTTCTCTCGGTTTCAAGCTGGTGGATGGATCCCTGTACTACGAATCCCATGATGCCCCTCGCCACTCTACAGGTCGTCAAAGGGGCTGAGCACCGCTCAGCATGATGGAAGTTGTAGTCCACGCCCTATTCGTGATTGGCTGGGGGCGAGCACAGACACAACATTCGTGGGAGGCGACAGGTCGCGACGGCGACGACAGGCGGCATGGGGGGGTGCTGCCTGAAGTCGGTAAAGGGTTCCCAACGCTCTTCGTAAAGGGAGAGGATACCATTTCCGCAGCCTTCATCTCTGGTATACTCCTTGCTCCCCTGGGAATTCCGGGACTCCTGGGTCCACCATGTAGGCGGGGCTTTGAAGCCCCCGTGTTGGGGAGGGGGGAGCGATGCTGCCCCTCCTCCGGTGGTGATGTCATCCCCCCACCCTCCAACGCAGCTTCTTAGTGCCCAGAACTGCCAGGGCCGGGTCACCCCTCCCCCCCATCGCCAGCCCGGGATCCCCCATCCCCGCCCCGCCACGACTTGGGGTGAGTACGGGGGAGGGGGCAAAGTCTCAGGGATTGGGGGCGGTGAGACAGCCCAGATCCCAGTTATGGAGGCGAGAGGCAAGAACCTAAAAGATCATAGCGGAAGGATTTCCCTCAAGTGCCATCTTTGGCGGCCAAGGACCTTGAAGGGTTTCGGGGAACGAATGATGACAGGCTGGGAGTCTCCCATGTTATCCATTTTGAGTTTCTGGAAGACCTCCTTTCCTGGGTTTAGAACTAATGGGAGTGGGGGCAGAAAATCAAGGAAGGGTCCTTGGAGTCTAGGAAGGGAAGAGCCTCCCCCCACCTCCCAATTCCAGCGCTTTGGGGAATAGCGGAGGGAATGGGAATTTGGAGTTTTCCGGAATTTTATTCCATGAGGGGCTGGGAAAAGAATCGATTGGGAAAGGGTGGGAGGAAGGTTCTGGAGAAAGGAACAAACATCGGCCGCCTTCCTCCTGGAGTCCCTGCTCAAAATGAGTCCACTTCACTGCTGGGCTGACAGGGCTGGGTGTCCCATAACCGGAGGGCCTTCGCCACCCCCACCCCCCCAACTAGGTGTGCAGGAGTTCATTTCTCTCTCTCTCTAATGGGAGGAGTTATCCCGGTGGGGTCTTGGGGGCAGGCCATAGGATAGGATGAGCACTCATCTCCCACCTCCACCCCACAATGGAACCCAGACCACCCTCATGACAGACTTGGGTGGTCTCATTACCACTTACTCCCTCCACGCCCCCTGTCTAATCCAAGTCTCCTCCCATCCACCTCTGCTCCCACCCACCCGCCCCCCACCCGTTCTCCCACAACTTCAGACCTGGTGACATCCCTGATTTAGTCGCTTGACCCCGGTGCCTGGCTGCTGTCAAAAGCAGAAGAGCAATGTAGGTTTAAGAGGAGGGAAAAGGGAGTCGTGAAAGGAGGGTGGCAGGTTGAGGTCCTGATACTTGAACTCCAACCCCTCACCTGAGCCTCTGTTGCCTGCCCAGCCCCTGCCCTGCTCCAGCCCCCAGCCCCCAGCCTGCCCCTACACCAACCTGACTCGACCCAGTGCCAGGCTCTCAGGCCCCCCACTCAGTGCTCCTGCTTGGGGGTGCAGAGGGAGCTAGGAAGCTCCCATCAGTCCCCTCTCTGCCCCCTGCAGCCTTCAGAGGCTCAAGGACTACCAGAGGATCCTGAGTCCTGGAGCAGGATGGTAGGGGAGCTCAGGGTCTGGAGGCGGGGGAGTGGGGGGTGATGGTGGTGGGTGATGGAGACCAGCTTCTGGTCTCCGGGGCAGGCCCCACTTCTGCAACTCTGCAGTGACGCAGCCTGCAGAGGAGTCCTGGCTAGGATGGGGGTTACAGGGGTGATGTGGGGGAGGGGCCAGGGAGGGATGGAGACTGAGATGTTAGAGCCGCAGAGAGGCAGGGGGGTGGGGGTGGGGTAGGTGTGAGAGAGGAGGATCAGATCCAGAGAGAGTGACAAAGATCCAGGAGAAGAAGTCAGTGAAAATGACACCGGGAGGACAGAGCGCTGGGAAGTGAGCAGAGACGCAGAGAGGGGGAGACAGACTCACAGAGAGGGGGACAGATACCAAGGAGAAGGGGACAGAGACCCAGAGAGAGGGAAACAGACCGGGGCGGGGGGGGACAGAGACCCAGAAAAAGATGGGAACAGAGACTGAGAGAGAGGGAAACAGACCCAGAGAGAGGGGGGTGAGGATGGGACAGAGACCCAGAGGGGGGGGCAGAGACCCAGGGCACACATTCAGAGTGGGACAGAGCCTCGTCGAGTGGTGAATAGAGACAGAAGGGGGCGGTAAACAGGGACAGATGGGGTGTCAAGATGGGGTGTCATGGTCTCAGGAGGAGTGGGAAACCTGGAAAGAAAAAGAGTCGAGAGCGGGTGGGGCACACAGCCGGAGTAGGGGGCAATTTAGGAATGTTTGCGGAGCGGCCCGGAAGAGAGTGTCATTAACCCAGAGGAAGAGATACAGATTCCCAGGCACAGAAATGGCAGAGACTTCCAGAGAAGGGGCGGGAGGTGGGAGGGAGGATAAGGATGGAAGTGGAGGGCAAAGAGGTGGAGGGGACAGTGACCCAGCGAGGGACCTCCAACAGGAACGTATTGAGACCAAGAGAGACCCTGGGAGGGGGGCTGGGGCCCAAGAAGAAGCAGAGCAAAGACTCCGAAGGAGGGAGACAGACAGACTCAGAGATGGGGAGACAGAGAGCGAACGGGGAGGACACTCAGAGGGACGGGGAAAGAGACCACGAGAGACACAGGAACGGGAGCGGGGGTCGGGTGGGGAGGCCATACGAACCAGCCGCCGCACCTGCAGAGGGAGGCGGCGGGCCAGGGACCGTGCAGCTCCAGGAGGCCCGCAGCCCCTGACCCGCCCCCTTCGCTCCTACAGGCGCCGCCTCCTCCCGCCGCAGCCCTGCTGCAGCCGCTGGCCCCGCCCCAGCCACCTGCGCCTGCGCCGTCTCGCCTGAGGGGGCGGGGCCTGGCCTCCGCTCCCGAGCGGGCCGCCTAGCTGTGGCCCCGCCCCTCTACAACCACGCCCCCAACCCACCGTCCTCACCAAGACCTCTTGGACACAACTCCACCCTATTTACCTTTGTCCCCGCCTCCCTAGGGGCTTTGGCGACACCCTCTGCAAGCCTGGGCGCTCTTATTGCTTCTTCAGCACCCCCTCCCCAGTCCTTTCTTCTAGCTGCAGTCTACCATTTTCTCGACCCCTTTTTATCCACCACGTGTAAGATCTCAATTTGCCCTATCAGGCCCTACTGACTAACCCTGAGTTTAGGGCTCGCTTGAGGTTGTCTGATCTCCAAGAGGCCAGACCTCGCCCCTCTTCCATCCAGCCCCACCCCGTTGCTTTGTACTCTCCTCCTCTTAGTCCATAGAGCTACCCACCTGCCCCCCACCCCCGGACCCCTCATTCCAACCAGGACCCTTATTCGTACTCATTCTCTTAGCCCCGGCCCGCCCCTCATCCCGTTTAGCTGCTTTCAAGCCCCTCTAAGCTATATGCCTCCCTTTGTCCGCTTCCCATAGGACAGAATAGACGTTGTATGCTATTTATAGAACACACCCATTTTCATCAGGCCTGCCCCACCCACCCAGACCCTTATTCTCCAGCCGTGCCTGGTGTAACCTGCAAGCTTGCAGCCTCAGCCTGGCC